TCTGGTCATGAGCTGGTTTAGGATGGTTCTTGCAGCCATAAACTGGCTTGAACAGTCCACAGTTGGTTCTGATCATCACCAACAAAAAACAGAAAGAACCGGTTTAAACCAGTTAACAAGGGTCAAAATCTACCTTAGCAAAATATGCCTTTATTCTCTGCCGTTGAAAGCTCAACTCTGTCAAAACTTTGCCCTCCAAGAGCAAGGTTGGACATCCCAAGCCTTGCGGCATTGTCATTTTGGAAAATGGAAACTGCCAAACAAACCATTTCCACTTAATAGTAATCTAATTTGAATCAACTTGTTGTAGCTAAGCAGCTATAAACCTCATCCAAAACTCATCCGGTGAGACGTGGGTTTCTGTTTGCAGAGTACGTTTGCAGGCACTCAAACAGAACTCCTATGAGGATATTTGCCGTCATTAACTGAGCTCACGGCGGTTTAGCACAGACCAATTAAGACTCATATTTGCTTATACATGTGTTGTGCTTCTCCATGCACCATTGTGACTGAGGATACACAACCCATTGTTTTCTAATAATTAATGATACTTTGGTTTACTTTGGACTATACGGGGATATGAGCGTAAGGCGGCTAAAAGAATGAGAGAGATATATAGCAAACCACAAATCAAACACACAAGGCTCTAATGACAAATGACTGACTTCAGAAGGTCAGAATAAAAGTCAACAAGAGAGAGCAGCTTCCCTCCTTAATCCAGCCATTGAGGAGTACAAGGACAGACGAAGAGTTTCAGGAGAAAGTTGGATGACTGTTGAGTCCGAGGGGGAGGTGGGATCGACTCCATCTGTCGAGAGGGTCTTCCAGTTGACTTTAGCCCACATGCTGGATGCTGGCTCAGGAAGCTCTCTCACACTTCCTCCCGCAGTCCCCGACATGGTCCTGAATGGGGGAGTGAACCAAAAGCCATAGCCTCTATCTGAGGGTCTTTGTCCCGGTGGGGGGGCAAACAGTGGGATCCTACGGAAAAGGAAACACACGCCCCCTCCTTCAAACAACAGCAGGAGAAGAAAGAAAGCACATTACATGCTTGAAAATCAGCCCACTGCCATTATTTTAGTTACCAACCCAGTGGGGGGAAACTGTCGCTTTCAGACGAGTCGTGAGATGGGCGAGTGAGATTCTCCCTGGCTCAAATCACAGATTTCATGAATGCACCTGCGATTTAGGCTCCCTTCATTGTTTTGGTGTTTTGTTGAGTGTCACATATCAGTAATGGAAATGAGGCAATAAACGAAAGGGGAAGCTGATATCGGTTTCACCGGCACACAAAAGTGTGCCACAAGTGTGGTATCCAAAAGGAAGTGAGCTGAACTGTGCTAGCTACTCAATTACCCAATGTAGGGTCAATGGAAATATGTGCTTTAGCCTACATTTTTAGCGAAAATCCGAAAGAAAAGTACTTTAACATACGTCTGATTGCAGTTTGTAGGTAAAGTGAACACTAGGGGGCAGTATGACTATGAAAATTTTTATTCCTTTTCACATTAATGATGTTCCCTGGACATTTCATTGACGGATAAAGGGTTATTTTTGTGTAGTTCTTTGCAGAGCGCAAAATAAATACCACAAATAAACCAAACAATGCCTATGATTTGTAATTGTATACGTTTGCATCACCCTTTTTTTGTGAAAAAAAAGCACTTCAACATACGTTTTACCGCAGTTTATAGGTAAAGTGAACACTAGGGGGCAGTATGACGATGATAACTTTTATTCCTTTTCACAATAACAATATTTATAGAGACATATCGCTGACAAATAAAGGATTATTTTTATGTAGTTCTTTGTTCGACACTAAATAAATACCACAAAACAACAAAATACCGTCTATGATTTGTAATTGTATTTTCGCATCATCAATTTTTGTGAAACTGCAAAAAAAAAAACACACTTCAACATTCATTTGACTGCAGTTTATAGGTAAAGTGAACACTAAGGGGCAGTATGACATTGACAACTTTTATTCCTTTTCACAATAATGATATTTACAGAGACATATTATTGATGAATAAAGGATTATTTTTATGTTGTTCGTTGTCCAACACTAAATAAATACCACAAAACAACAAAACAATGTTTATAATTTATATTTGTATACGTTTGCATCACGTATTGTTTGTAAAAATGCTTAAAAGTACTTTAACATTCGTTTGACTGCAGTTTATAAGTAAAGTGAACACTAGGGGGCAGTATGACGATGACAACTTTTATTCCTTTTCACATTAATGTTGTTTGCAGAGACATATCACTGATGAATAAAGGGTTATTTTTGTGCAGTTCTTTAGACAGCGCCAAATAAATACCATAAAACAACTAAACACCGTCTATGATGTGTAATTGTATACGTTTGCGTCACATATCTATTTTTGTGAAACTGAGAAAAACGCACTTCAACATACGTTTGACTGCAGATTATAGTATTATACAGTTTGTATAGTTCTTTGCACAGCACTGAATAAACGATGTTTATGATTTGTAATTTTATACGTTTGCGTCACCTATTTTTGTGAAACTGCAAAAAAAAAAAAAAAACACACTTCAACATTCGTTTGACTGCAGTTTATAGGTAAAGTGAACACCAGGGGGCAGCATGACGATGACAACTTTTATTCCTTTTCACATTAACAATATTTATAGAGTCATATCGCTGACAAATAAAATATTATTTTTATGTAGTTCTTTGTTTGACAATAAATAATTACCACAAAACAACAAAATACTGTCTATGATTTGTAATTGTATTTTCGCATCATCAATTTTTGTGAAACTGCAAAAAAAACGCACTTCAACAATCATTTGACTGCAGTTTATAGGTAAAGTGAACACCAGGGGGCAGCATGACATTGACAACTTTTATTCCTTTTCACAATAATGATATTTACAGAGACATATTACTGATGAATAAAGGATTATTTTTATGTTGTTCGTCGTCCAACACTAAATACATACCACAAAACAACAAAACAATGTTTAAGATTTATATTTGTATACGTTTGCGTCACCTATTTTTGTGGAAATGCTAAAAAGTACTTCAACATTCGTTTGACTGCAGTTTATAGGTAAAGTGAACACTAGGGGGCAGTATGACGATGACAACTTATAATTCCTTTTCACATTAACAATATTTATAGAGACATATCACTGAAAAATAAAGGATTATTTGTATGTATTTTTTTGTTCGACACCAAATAATACCACAAAACAACAAAATACTATTTTAAAATACTAATATATGTATTTTCGCATCATCAATTTTTGTGAAACTGCAAAAAAAAACACTTCAACATTCGTTTGACTGCAGTTTATAGGTAAAGTGAACACCAGGGGGCAGTATGACGATGGCACAGTTTATTCCTTTTCACATTAACGATATTTAATTTGCCGGAATGCTGCGCTGTGTGGACGCAAAAGGAAGATTGCCGGAAACAGCGTGTGCACGTCTAGAACGCGCTGACATGTGACGTCTACTTTAGCCAATCAGTACAGTCAGAACATTCACGTCCGCGTGGTGACGCGTCAAGTGTGCCCGTGAAAGAGTGAGTGCCAGCACACACATATTATGTACATCTCGACATGCGAAAGTGTTTCTCTATATGTTTTCATCTAAGTTGTTCACAATACTGATCCATCCACAGAGTTTGTAATGTAGTCAAATGTTTATAAAAACAAGCACAGCTGTTTAGAGGTCATTTCTGGTTAATGATGTCAGAATTTAACGCTATTTTGGAATAGATATGTGAGAATGGTCTTTTTCGGAAAAATTCCATAACATTCTTGCCTGTGTGAACAGAGCTTTTTTGAATTTACCTGTAAAGTCGTTCCGGAAATTTTCTGGATATTTACCGCTATCACTGAGTGAAAGAGGCTAGTGTCTATGATTTGTATTTATATATGTTCAGTTCACCTATCTGTTTTTGTGAAACTGCAAAAAAAAAAAAAAAACGCACTTCAACATACGCTTAACTGCAGTTTATAGGTAACATAAACCCTAGGGGGCAGTATGACGATGACAACTTTTATTCCTTTTCACAATAATGATATTTACAGAGACATGTCTGGTGAATGAAGGATTATTTTTGTGTAGTTTTTTGTCCAACACTAAATAAATACCACAAAACAACTAAACAATGTCTATGATTTGTAATTGTATATGTTCGCGTCACCTATTTTTGTGAAACTGCAAAAAAACAAAATGCACTTTGTTCGACTGCAGGTAATAGGTAAAGTGAACACTAGGGGGCAGTATAACGATGACAACTTTTATTCCTTTTCACATTAATAATATTACGAGACATTTTATTGACAAATAAAGGATTATTTTTGTTTAGTCTCTTTGGACAGCCTCAAATAAATACCACAAAACAACTCAATGCTGTCTTTGATTTGGAATGAACACATTTGCGTCCGGTGTGGTCTGATTCCTTGTAGCTCATTTTGTACAGTGCTGCATAGCACTCAGGTTTCCAGTGAAGCGTGCTTCCACAAAAGAGCAATGCAAAATCAAGGTAAACTACATGGTCGCAGTGTACTTTACTCTTATGTTTGCTTTTAAAAACACAATTGGTTGGGTTTAGCAAAGGTTTTAGCTCAATGGTTCACTAGGCATGATGTACAACAAGCTCCGCCTTCTCCTGGATGTGACGTGTAATGTATATTAAGTAACGTATTTTAAGTTTGCAGAAACGTAGACAGCGCCCTCTAGTGGATTTGATATCTGAAACATTTTATGAAACGTAATAGGAGCAATGTATTGTAGATTTTGCTAAATATAGGCTGAGGGATGTATGTTTAATTAGACTCATTCGTAAATTATGGCAAGTATGTAAATATAATAAAAGTTTCCAAAGCAACAGTGGACAGACACGCCTCTACAGTAACACCAGTGCAAATGCATGCTTGAATGACATGAGATTTCTGACTTGATTTTCCCCTCCTCTCTCTCTCTCTCCGTCTCTCTCTCTCTCTTTTTTTCCTAGTATTTTTTTCTACTCAAGCATGGCGGTGATAATTGGATTGTGTGGACACCTGTATGAGTGCAGTATATCCAGGGGATTAGAGAACGGGATGGGTGAGTCAACTCAAATTATTGTCACGTTAACCCGTACAACTGGCAGCCGCAGCCCCCTACTACTCACTAAAATAAAGTCTCATGGGTCACAGAACCTGTCCAACTTATAAACAACCTCTAGAGTCACAAATATCAAGGTGATTGTACTGAAAATAGAGCATTAGAAAGGATGAAGTTCAACAGGTTGTTTCTTGCCCTGATACTCTCAGAGGAATAACTCTGTATCTTATCTAACCCTGCAAGGAGCGGCTAAAAAGGGATAGTTCACCCAACAATTTATATTTGCTCATTTTACTCACACTTTTAGGAGTTTCTTTCTTTTGTTGAACCAAAAACAAGATAGGGGCTGTTTTCATTCTGTAGCGCTGCTGCTCGTCTCAGTGTGGATGAGGGAAAACGGAGACATCTGAAAATGGAGGCGGGGCTGCTGAGATTCGCTACCTGATTGGGGCTTTTGTGTCATTGCGTATCCTTCCCTTATTCGTCAAGCCCCTATCACATGACTATAACACATGACTTTAACGCTGCCAGAAGACAGCAGACCAGCCTTCACTGTAAACAACAACATGGAAACAGAAATGGGAGCGTTGTTTGCACTGTTGTCTGTTTTAGGCGCCATTGTGCAGTTATTGATTTGTTACGTTTAGTAACTCGACCTCGTCGTCTGTTCACAAAAATACCTCTCTTGCTTTCTTTGCCATCGCGTTCATTGTTCAACAGGCGTTTGATGACTTACAATAACCAAATGCTGAGCGAGACGCATGCTGAATGCGCATACCTAGAGTGCGCGAATGGTCACGTGTTATACGTTTTTGGTGGCGTAGTGTGGACAGAGATATGTTCAGAAATGCTAGGTGAAACGCTAGTGTGGACGCGAATCGTTTTTAATCTAAAACGCAGTTTTAAAACTAAAACGCACTAGTGTACACGGGGCCTTGGTGAAGTTTATTTATAAACTAATTTCCAGAGGATCACGTGCTTACGATTGCTTGCAGCCGACCCCGCATTATTCAAATTCATTATTGACCAATCACACGATTCCTAAGCCACTATAAACACCGTAAGTTCCATATCGCAGCCATCTTCGTTTGGAATAACCCCCCCTTCATTCCTACTCCTCCTCCTTTCCTAGATGGGTGCCATGGTGGCCCAGTGGTTAGCTCTGTTGCCTCACAGCAAGAACGTCACTGGTTCGAGTCCTTACCAAGCCAGCCGATGTTTCTGTGCGGAGTTTACACATTCTCCCAGTGCTCACGCGGGTTTCCCCCAGGTTCCCCGGTTTCCTCCCACCGTCCAAAAGCATGCAACCTAAGTTAATTGACTAATCCAAATCAGCACCATAGACATGCTTCTAGTAAATAGTCATCTCTTAAGAGCAATCACTATCTGTTCATTAGCTACAGCAGGGGAGTTCTCCAGATCTACTTGAACTCAAACTCCCCTCTCGCCTTGCAAACGGGAGGGAGCCCCAGACTCGAGGATCTTATGAGCTCAAGGCTCTCTCCCGGGACAGCATGCCAAACACGCTCTATAATTAATCATTGTTCTAAATCTATCCACTTGTGTTCAGTGGTAAACTCTAGAAGGGATACAGCTGTGGACATCAATACAGTATTGTTTTTTTTTACACGGTACAGCAATAATTCATGTTTTTACATTACTGTGAGGGTTGGGGTAGAGGTAGACTTGAATAGAAATCAATTAATGGGTAATTTAATAAATAATGCGAATAATAATTGTTATATTTACTGTTTTTACATTACAGTGATGGCTGGGTTTAGAGTTGGAGTTGGAGTAAAGTTGATAAAATACTACTTAATGAGTAATTTAATAGATAATATGAGTAAAACTCAATATATTTACTGTTTTTACATTTCTGTGAGGGTTAAGGTAGGGGCATACATTAATAAAATGCAATTTAATGGGTAATTTAAGAAATAATATGAATAATAATCAATATATTTACTGTTTTTATATTACTGTGAGGGTTAAGTTAGGGGTAAACTTTAATAAAATACCGTTTAATAGGTAATTTAAGAAATAATATGAATAATACCTAATATAATTACTGTTTATACATTACTGTGAGGTTTGGTGTAGGGGTAGATGTTAATAAAACACAATTTGATGGGTAATTTAATAGATAATATGAATAAAACTCAATATATTAACTGTTTTACATTACTGTAAGGGTCAAGGTAGGGGTAAACGTTAATAAAATACAGTTTAATAGTTAATTTTAAAAATAATATGAAAAATACTTAAGATATTTACTGTTTTTAAATTAATGTGAGGGTTGAGGTAGGGGTAGACATTAATTAAATACAATTTTATGGGTATTTTAAGAAATAACATCAATAATACCTAATATAATTACTGTTTTTACATTACTGTGAGGGTTGGTGCAGGGGTAGGTGTTAATAAAACAGAATTTAATGGGTAATTTAATAGATAATATGAATAAAACTCAATATATTAACTGTTTTTACATTACTGTGAGGGTTAAGTTAGGGGTAGACATTAATAAAATACAATTTAATGGGTAATTTAAGAAATAATATGAATAAAAATCAATATATTTACTGTTTTTACATTAATGTGAGGGTTAAGTTAGGGGTAAACGTTAATAAAATACAGTTTAATAGGTAATTTAAGAAATAATATGAATAATACCTAATTTAATTACTGTTTATACATTACTGTGAGGTTTGGTGCCAGGGGTAGATGTTAATAAAACAGAATTTAATGGGTTATTTAATAGATAATATGAATAATAATCAATATATTTACTGTTTTTACATTACTGTGAGGGTTAAGTTAGGGGTAGACGTTAAGAAAATACAGTTTAATAGGTAATTTAATAGATAATATGAATAAAACCTAATTTAATTACTGTTTATACATTACTGTAAGGGTTGGTGTAGGGGTAGATGTTAATAAAACACAATTTAATGGGTAATTTAATAGATAATATAAATAAAACTCAATATATTTACTGTTTTTACATTACTGTGAGGGTTGAGGTAGGGGTAAACATTAATAAATACAGTTTAATAGTTAATTTAAAAAATAATATGAATAATAATCAATATATTTACTGTTTTTACATTACTGTGAGGGTTAAGGTAGGGGTAAACGTTAATAAAATAGAGTTTAATAGGTAATTCAAGAAATAATATGAATAATAATCAATATAATTACTGTTTTTACAATAATGTTAGGGTTAAAGTATAGGGTAGATGTTAATAAAATACAATTTAATGGGTTATTTAAAAGATAATATGAACAATAATCAATATAATTACTGTTTTTACATTACTGTGAGGGGTGAGGTAGGGGTAGACGTTAAGAAAATACAGTTTAATAGGTAATTTAATAGATAATATGAATAAAACTTAATAAATTTACCATTTTTACATTATTGTGAGGGTTTAGGTAGGGGTAGACAATAATAAAATACAGTTTAATGAGTAATTTAAGAAAAAATATGAATAAAACTTAATCTAACTACTGTTTTTACATTACTGTGAGGGTTGGTGTAGGGGTAAGGGTTAATAAAATACAATTTAACGGGTAATTTAATAAACATTATGAAAAATACGTGAGATAATTACTGTTTTTACATTACTGTGAGGGTTGAGGTAGAGGGTAGACGTTAATAAAATACAGTTTAATAGGTACTTTAATAAATAATATGAATAATACTCAGCAGATGTATCCCTCAACAGTCGTTGTTTAACAGAAGTAAGAAAACCATTTACGACCACATGAGGGAGAAGAAATGATGAAGCAAGGTTCCTTTTTGCGTGAGCTATCCCTTCAACTTTTGTTTTTATCTGGCAGAAATGTGTTTTAAGGAATCATGTATCCGAGTGTTTGATATCGAATTCTGTCAGGAAAGATAAATACGGGGCCCTGCTGCCAGCAGCCCTTGTTTAAGTCGGTCAGGGCGGCCATCGTTAGCAGGAGTTTGTAAACAGAGCGTGGAGTCTGTGTGTGTGTGTGTGTGCTGAAAGACGACACGGCAATAGTGAAACTCAACCCGGTACGATGGCAGGGGGGGGTTATGAGTCTGTTGTTTGACCACAGGGATGAGCGATGAGTCCACGGGCCCGTCTGAAAAAGCTCTGCGCAGATTCGCTAGGTGTCGTCAGGGCAGGTAATTCATCAGGCCGTGGCCTCCCGAAAAACTTCCCATGGTCACTTGTGAGTGCGAATACGTAATGAGCTGGAGGGCTCCACATTTGCCACGGCTGATTAGACCAGAACAATGGGCCCAAACAGAACTGGCAGGCCTCACAATGGGGACTGGAAAGCCTCAAGGCGTTGCCTCCGTGTTTCTAGAGAAGGAAGAGAGAGAGAGAGGGAGGGAAAAGTGGACAAGACTGTAGTTTATAACTGTCTTCTGTCTTTGGGACGGCTGTCGAAAAAACGCACCATACTTTGTCACCATACGCTCAAAACTATGATGTTTGCTGTTTGTTCGAATTACTTATTTATAATGAGCTGAAACAACACGATTATTAAGATTTTATTTGTTTTATGGGCGGCACGGTGGCTTAGTGGTTAGCACTGCACCCTCACAAAAAGAAGTCAGTTGGTGTTTCTGTGTGTAGTTTGCATGTTCTCCCTGTGTTGGCGTGGGTTTCCCTCATAGTGCAAACACATGCGCTGTAGGTGAACTGAAATGGCTATTGTGTATGAGTGTGTGTGTGAATGAGTGTGTATGGGTGTTTCCCAGGACTGGGTTGCAGCTTGCGGGACATCCACTGAGTTAAACGTGGAATAGTTGCTGGTTCACTCTGCTGTGGCGACCCCTGATAAATAACGGAGTAACTCAAAGGAAAATGGCTGAATGTTTTATTTTCAATCCACTCAGCATAATACATTTGTGTTGGGACAACATGGAGGAGTTGTCATCTGTCTAAAAACACACCATATTTTTTTCACTAATAAAAGATCAATCTAAAAAATATTGTTATACATAGCAAAAAAAAAGT